GACCTCCCCAAAACAATTACCCATAATTGTACCATTTATGTGTCATTTACATTTACATTTACAGCGAGGTGAAGTTACAGTATCTCGAAATTGATGGGGTTGTTATGGAAATGAAGATACATGTACATGTAATCATATGAAAGCATTAAAAGGGAGCCATCTAGGATTTGAGTGTTGCCATGGACTGGAATGGGAAATGAATTCATTGACTAAAATAATCTTGGAATAGTAGTATTACTCATCAGACATGGAACAAAACTACATTTTATCCTATGTTTTGATATATGCAGATTAATAGCAGTTGTCTTGCACATTTGATACAGTTGCCATGGTGATATGCAAAAATTGACATTGTAAACAAATTCATTGAACTAAATTCCCTCAAAATAGTGGTTTTCCTGTTCCATTTAGCTCGCAAATGTCAGATTTAATATTTTACCATATGATTCAAATATGCAAATGTGGTGGCCATCTTTGATCTGAGAGTGTTGCCTTTATTGATACAAGAAGTGGCATTACTTTTCAGTTTAGCCTTAAGAGGTCACACCACTTAATCCATAGTACTCTGAGGATTTTGTGTTCCTACTCCAATTTTGTGGTTCCCCTACACACTATAGTCTGTATAATTTGATGAATTAAAGTGGTTAATTCAAGTAGTTACCCTTGAATATTGATTAAAATCTGTACAAAACACTTTGGACTGTATATGGGTGCAATTTGATGTAAATTTGACGCTTTTTCGGTGTGGTGGATTGATATTTTGGCCGGTGTGTAGTCAAGCCACATGTCAGCCTTTGATAAGGTAAAATAAGTGGGAAAATCATTAAATCTCCTTGATCAGAGGGTAGCAACAAAATTTGGTGGCAAACCTATAATTTTTTCAAACATTTTGGAGCTTTTGTTAGGTTGTGGGTCAAACCACGTCAAATCACCTGAAATTCAGGCAGTTGTTAACCGGGCCCCCTTTAATTTTGCTCAAATTTGCATCAAATGTTCCCCCAAGTAACTCATGGTATGTATTGAAAAGTCTGAAAGTAGTCCAAATTGAGAGCCGAAGATGGACTGGTTTGTCCACAAGCCTATGGAGATATATTTAGTGGTGTGGTACCTTCATGGGTCAAAACTGGCATTTGATCCTATGCTATAACATGCAAATTAGGGACATGCAGTTTGGATTTGACACAGTTGTCGTGGTAATATGACAAACCTGGCATTGTAAGTAAGCATCTTGACCCAAATTACCTCTCAATTTTTGTGCTATTCGTTATCTGTTTACGATCCAACATGTTCGAATATCAGATTTAACATTTTACCTTATGTTTGATATATGCAAATGAGAGGTGGCCATCTTGGATTTTAGAGAGTTAGATTTATGATGGATGCATAATTATGCATCATAGATGATTTTTTTTTTAGTTACATTGCCTTAGAAAAGCAATATGACTCATACTTTTAGTCTTTTTGAAGCAAACTCAAGATTGCTCAATCATTGATATTCAAATTAGGGGCAGCCATCTTAGATCTATGAGTGTTGGTAAGGTGATATGTATAAATTACCATCAGTAATGAAATTACTGAAAAGCATAAAGTCCAAAAAGTAGTTTTAGTCATCATTTTAGTCTTCCTGGATTAATATATTGTTTTAATCATATGTTTTATATATCGATCTGGCTTTTTGTTAATTATGTTAATTACGAAAATTGCTCAAGGGTGGCAAGGTGGCAACCAAGGTGAAATTTGTTATATATCCATCTCGAATATGAATCGATAAAAAAACCTGAGAGTTCCTGGTCCACAAATTTTTTACACGATTAAGTATTCATTGAAGGGAAATGAAGTTGTGACATGAGTGTGCTCTGAATGAATGCAGAAGAATAAACACAAACTAAACAGTTAAACTTTGAGTGAAATCAGCCAATCTGATAAAGAGTTATGATTTTTTTAAAGTTTATGTACGGTAACAATTTTTATGGGGGATTCTTAAGTTGGTAATTCTGGTAGCATCTTAATGTAAGAATGGATGACTGTTTATTGGTGTTGTACACAAGCGTGCAAAAGATAAATTACATAAAATAGTACTTGAAGAATCAGCATAATTCTTTTAGTAATAAAAGAATTGCTTGCAGAATTGATGTAGAAATGTGATACTCAAATAGTAAGTTAAATTTTGATGAAAATGGGTGTGGGGGGGGGGGGAGAGAATGTGTAAGTATGTGTACAAAACCAATGGAGAGTTGTCCAGTGTTACATCATAGATGCTGGTGGAGTTGCCAACTTAATGATCTCCCATATTAGGGATTTAATTACATGTTTAATATTTATAACTCTTAAACAGATTGTCTGATTTTGATGAAAGTTTGTTTACTTTTTGTTATTTTTCTGCAGTCGCTAAAAGCACATTAATATCTGATTTTATTGTTGTAATGAGTTTGAATCATGCATCAGTAGTTCTAGATATCTGTAGACAATTTGTGTTTAGTACTGAAGTGTTTTTTTTTGTTGGTACTTACATTAAAAAAATGCTTACATTTAAAAAATTAATTATGTGTACAAAACCAATGGAGAGTTGTCCAGTGTTACATCATAGATGCTGGTGGAGTTGCCAACTTAATGATCTTCCATATTAGGGATTTAATTACATGTTTAATATTTATAACTCTTAAACAGATTGTCTGATTTTGATGAAAGTTTGTTTACTTTTTGTTATTTTTCTGCAGTCACTAAAAGCACATTAATATCTGATTTTATTGTTGTAATGAGTTTCAATCATGCATCAGTAGTTCTAGATATCTGTAGATGATTTGTGTTTAGTACTGAAGTGTTTTTTTTTTTGGTACTTACATTAAAAAAATGCTTACATTAAAAAAATTAATTATGTGTACAAAACCAATGGAGAGTTGTCCAGTGTTACATCATAGATGCTGGTGGAGTTGCCAACTTAATGATCTCCCATATTAGGGATTTAATTACATGTTTAATATTTATAACTCTTAAACAGATTGTCTGATTTTGACGAAAGTTTGTTTACTTTTTGTTATTTTTCTGCAGTCACTAAAAGCACATTAATATCTGATTTTATTGTTGTAATGAGTTTCAATCATGCCTCAGTAGTTTTAGATATCTGTAGACAATTTGTGTTTAGTACTGAAGTGTTTTTTTTGTTGGTACTTACATTAAAAAAATGCTTACATTTAAAAAAATAATTATGTGTACAAAACCAATGGAGAGTTGTCCAGTGTTACATCATAGATGCTGGTGGAGTTGCCAACTTAATGATCTCCCATATTAGGGATTTAATTACATGTTTAATATTTATAACTCTTAAACAGATTGTCTGATTTTGATGAAAGTTTGTTTACTTTTTGTTATTTTTCTGCAGTCACTAAAAGCACATTAATATCTGATTTTATTGTTGTAATGAGTTTGAATCATGCATCAGTAGTTCTAGATATCTGTAGACGATTTGTGTTTAGTACTGAAGTGTTTTTTTTTTTGGTACTTACATTAAAAAAATGAAAGTGATTTTTAGAAATTTAATATCAGTTTTATGTATGACCAAATCAATCTGAAATATGTACACGATGACAAATGTTTTAAAAATCATATGGTTGTAATTTGATATAATTGTGACAGTTTTACAAAGTTTAAACATCGTTGTTTTGTTTTATGGTAATTGATTTGTGAAGCAGTTTTGAGTTAAATATTTTGGATAACATCAAGATTAGTGTTTATTTGTTTCTTGTGTTTTGGATAAAAGTAATTATGTTGGATGATTTATATGATGTAATTATAGTGTAAAACATATTGATGTAATGGTGGCTAATAAAAATATATATTTGTTTGAAAAAAATGTTACATTGACTTGTGAATATGGATTGAAGTGTTGTAGGAATTGTGAACAATTTGGTTTGATTAGATTTGAAGTGGTCACGAAAAGCTCAACCTGTTAGTTTACATGTGTGGAAAACAAAATTGTGCTGGAGGGGGGGGGGGGGGCAGTCGCCAGTGAGAATAATATTTGTAAACATCTGTATAAATGAAAACAATATGGCTGATGCCTGATGGAGTGAGCCTAGCTGATATCATATTGAACCTCATTTTAAAGTTGATATGTGATTATTGATAGCACAATCCATGTCACAATGGAATGTTTTGTATAGCTGTGTGAGGTATGAAAACAAATCTATTGCATATACAGAGGGAGGCAGAGCAAGAGAGGGAGAGAGAGAGAGAGAGAGAGAGGGTGAAAGAGTAGAGAGAGAGGAGAGAAAGAGATGCAGAGGCAGAGCAATTAAGAGAAGGAGATGGGCAGACCAATAGCGGGGAAGGAAAACGGAGCAGGAGAGAGATTCAATGAAGAACGATCGATGCATTCAATATTTCGAGCACTTAACAGAGTTTAATATTTATTATATAGAGAAAGAGAGAATAGACATGTGAACAATATATTGGTCCATTGAATGGACGCAAACATTGCATATACCTGGGCTTATTAACTGGAAAAAATATAAACGTCTGGGAAGGACACTAGCATCATACAAGGATTCAGATTTCCCGTAGGGTTGTACGCACACTATTGACATTGCTCTCCCAGAAATATAACACGCAAAATTAAGCATTTTATTACATTTTTTTGTGATTATATATATATATATATATATATATATATATATACATATATCGTGTTATATAGTATAGTCGGAAGAAAATGATCAAAAAAAAATAAGAAACGAAAGCCCCCCAAAAAATAATTGTCCACGGATTTGATGTAGAGTCATTGACAAGGAAGTCGGGTGCTTTGACCAATAGACCAAGTAAGTCACGTTGCCGATCTACGTTATTTAGAGGTTATATATTGCACTTTATACATGCGAACGCGCACAGCTTGCGCGCGCGAACGAACGCATAAATGACCACCGTACCAATACAAAAAACGTACACAATTAGACGATTTCTTCAGATTTGTACGTCCGTATAGTGCATAGATCTACGACGCATGCAGTATAGTGCCTAGCCTTCGATTCAATACAGTAAAGCCGTGGTTTAAAGTTTTTGATCGAATGCTGACAAGATTTTCGAGTTGTAGCCTTTCTTCGTCCTTTTTTGGAGTGTTCATGTGTTCTCAATTTATGCCCGTTATGTTGCCGACAGTCTAGTGGAAACTGATACTGATAGTGATATTTGGTATGTTTTAATTTTGTAACAATTATCGTATGAAAATGCACCACTGTCCGATTCCGAAGGTGTTAGATACGGTATGTTTTTTGAGGGTGTACGTTTTGTGACTACGCAGTAGGCCTAGGCCTAACCGGGGGCCTACCGTACGTACGATTGTGTACTTTTACTGAGTAAGGAAAGTGTGAAATGAATTCTAAAAAATGAAAAACCTTCTAAAAATATGCCTAGATCTAAATATGATTCATTCTTAGAGAATGTCATTACTTGTTTATTTGCTGTTAAATGTGTTAAAATTACAAATTTGAATAGATCTAGATCTAGATTTTAGTTGCTAACTCTGCTGGTCTAGACTGCCGACTCTATCTCTAAGTTACTCCTCTAGATCTAACTAGACTAGTTAGCACTAAAATCTATTCAAATTTGTAATTAAACTTAAATAATAAAGGCAAGGAGGAGGGGGGTTTGGGGCCCTTCTGCAGTTTTCGGCTGGTCTGTTGGATCATTTGGATGTAGGCTATGGTATTAAATCCTTTTAAAGATAAAAGAGCCTTCTAAATACCCCCGCGCCCTCTCTCTCAACCGATGCGCTTATGCCCAGTAGGGCCCTGCATCGTACACATCCAGATCCAGATCCAGAAAAACCAGTTATGGTCATGCGATTGCATTGTGAAAGAAACATTGTGGAATTGATCAGAAAAGGTTGATCATCTAGCATATGTGTAGGTACATGTACGTTACAATGTCAATGTGTGTGCTTTTGCCATGAAGGTTTCTGCCATGGGGCTGTTATGCATTATTGGAGACCATTTGGAAAGCCTACGCAAATGCGATCTTTTGATGGGCTGATTAGATTTTTGTTTCATGATTTCTATTGGATATGAAGAATGACATTGTTATCTTTCATTTCATACTAGATCTAAACTTTCTATGATTTATGTTTTTGTCATTTTGTTTTGCTGCACTGTTTCACAAGAGCCGTGTTTAATGTAGTGCTGTAGCCGAACCGCCGAACCGCCAAACCGAACGGAAGTTCACCGAACATGTCACTTCCGAACCGAACCGAACCGGACGCAAAGGCCTGGTTCGGATGTTCGGCAGGAAAATGTTAACGTTTTTGCAAGCTAATAAACTTGTTATTTTTTACCTAATTTTCATGTCATGATTGCTCATTTTATATTAATTTTTTTTCCCATTTTCCGCCTTTGTTTTTTATGCCTATCCAGTGGTGGGCGCAACTTCACTGGCGCCATTTAAATCCCAAATCCTGACCACGCTACGTCGCGATCGCAAGCTATAAACAAGAATAAATGTGCGTGATCAAAACAAGTTCAGCTCAAACCAATTTAACAAAAAAAAAATCAATATTTTAATTGTAACAATATCAGACAAATTTTACAAGATAAATAATGAAATAAATATATATTATAGTATGGCATTTATTTATTCAGGAAAAATAGGGATTTTATATTTTTCCTATTGAAAATAAAAACTTATAAAAAAAAAAATTATTGACAAGTCTGAATCGCTATTCAAGATGGCATCTTTCATGACTCTAACATTTGACAACAACCGTCTCCGAAAATCTTGAAAAATATCATTTATTGACAAATTTAAAACATGATCCTTTTAAAATTGAAAATAAAACATGATTCAAGACGGAAATACGCATGTAAGTAGTACTTTTCTTCACAAATAATTACGTTTAGAGCAGTTTTTTAATGTGAAATTCGTGCTGGTCGGAGGCACTGTTTTTCAGCAGGAGTGGGCAGAAGTCCCCCGTGCTGGACGAGCCTGGCCGGCCGGCCCGCCCAGTGGTGACCGCCGTGGCTATAACGCTGCTTGCTATTATATCACTGAACCGAACCGAACCGAACACGAACATATAGCGTCTGACTTACAGCACTAGTTTAATGCCATTCTGTACCCTGATCCCACTACGAAATTGAGATAAAAAGTATATAAATTGATTGTTTATTCATGTGACTTTGCTTTTGGTGAAATTTAAGCGAAATCTATGGATGAGAAATATGTTTTTTTGGAAGAGGAATCTGAAATGTCATGCAAAAATGACGGCTCCATTAGTGGTTTTTCGCGTATTTACATACACATACATTTTTTGGCGATTTTTGTAATCAAATCACAGCTTTTCTTTTAAAAACAAAGCAATTAAATACATGATTTCCGGGCGTTTAAAATTGGCATAACTTTTTTATTACTCAGGCTATTAGGATGAATGAGGCATCAAATAAAAGATCTTATCAATCTCTGTTTGATGGTATGAAATTTGAAGCAAGAGCTTGAATTCTGAGATTTTTTTTTTTTGTAACATACACCTGTACATGTACCTGTGTGTACTGCAAGGTTCTGGAATCATCAAAATGATAAGAAATTTTGCCCAGTCTTGGTAAAGTTTTAAGCACTGTACACAAAAAGATATATATGGGACTACGTGACACGTAGGCAACACGTGCACAATATCTTTCAGGTCCAATAATCATGTACCAAATATATCAATTAGTAGGTGGTTTTTTTTTTCTGCAAAATTTGTATCATTCAAATTGGTCAAAACATATTCTTTCACATGATTGGTAATAAGATCTTTCATTTTATTTTTTGAGAGGAGGGCGTTTCCAAAACTGGTCTTTACCTTTAAGTATTGGCTGAGGTATGACCACTTGAATAAATAAATACCCTATGGGAACTCAGTCAGTAAACTTATATTGCTCTCTTCATAACATTACGAGCCAGGGCAATATAACACTGAGCTCGTATAGGACATATATTTATTCAGATGGTCATACCTCAGCCAATACTTAACATATAGATGGTTTTCAACATTTGGGCATTATATTTGATGTTCTTTCGGAAAATGAAGAAAAAAATTGAGAAAATTCAAAAATAGATTTTTATGATGTCACAGGCTCACAGCTTCGGTACTCTATGCACTCTCGGTTCCAGCAGCTAGCAAAGCATAGTAGCAGTCAATGCTAATGTGTATTGACCTCTAGCGCTTTATATATGAATATTTTTTTTACCGTAAATGACTCATTGTGACTGAAATAATTAATATCTGTAATTTCAGCTGATTCACAGCACATCCTGTAGAAAAACTTAAACATTACGACCAAATTTGTGTATACAATTTTACATGGAGATTTTGCGTGCTAGCGCGCATGTGTGGTGACAAAAAAGTATTCAATGAATAATATGAAGTGGCTGATTCGCAAGTTTGCTGGTAGACTCATGTTGATTAGGATTTTTAAAGAATATTTTCTAACATCTGTGTAGGCTATTCTGTTGAAAAGATTGTACTATACTGCTGTTTAGTAGGTGTCATCAATTGTAACTAAAGTACTGATTTTTAGTGAACTTAGTTGAGTTTATACTGTGGTGTTTGAAATGTTGAAAATCAATAGAGGTTGTCTGAACAGTTTTTGATACACAAAAAGTATAACTAGTATATTAATGGTGCTATCAGTGCTATGTCTGCTTCTATGGGCACTTGGGCAGTTTAACTCAAAAAGGTTGGTGTCCACCATTGCAACTTAAAACAAACATTAAGAATAAATATTCTTACATACTGGTACATAATTGTTGTTATTGATTGGTACTGTACATGTATGTCCTCCTTGGACAGGAAATATCTTTAGAACAATTAACTTGTAATTGTTTTCATTTTTAGTCTTAGTCTTATTTCTCATTTTCATTATTTTATTTTCCATGCATGGAAATATGCCCTCACAAGTTAACATCACATGAAGCTTGGAAAGTGTTTGTATCAGTTTATAACTTAAAGGTATTACAAAGTTTTAGTATGGGGTCATGAATTCTGTTCAAATTAAAATATTTGAAGCATGTGCGTTCCTTCAATATTCATTGGTCGTTGTCGCGGTTGAAATCGAGTCTGAAGTTATGAAATTATAAATAATAAACTCTTTAAATTGTATAGCTCCCTCTCAAGGTCAAGATATTAATTTAGCTATGAAACAATTAATGTTTCATGAATATTCCCGTTTGGAAATTATATCACAACTACATATTCTGAGATTTTCATGGTCGCAACTACCATTGTACGGCCATAGACGCTATTTGAAATTAATCATAATTTACCGGGAGCACCGGTAAATTTTTATATTCAATTTTTCTCGAAAACAGAAGTGTTTTAGGGGCTAATTTTTTTTTACTGCTTATACATACATCCACAGGGGCATCCAAATACACTGTATCTCAAAATTGTAAAGATTCACTATCCACCCAATTTTCAAAATTTCCCAAAACTTTGTATTACCTTTAAAATGTTATTATAGATAATTATTATTGAAGTGTAGCATTGTTTGTGTTTTGCCATCTAGTACAGTAGTTATTCATAAGGTAGTTTGATTAAGTGTGGTGTTTACATCTTTCCTTTTAGACGTCATTGAAATCCTGATACTGTAAAGAGAGTGAGAGGGAATCAGTAAATCTGTTGTGGACTGAGCTTATGATTTTACATGAGGATTTAGTGTGCTTGCGCGCATGCGTGGCGACCAAAATATAACAGAATGATGACTGGCTTGTTTGGCAGACTCATGTTTTGTATTTTTAAGGAATATTTTTTATCATGGGTAATTTGAAAAGATTATCTTTACCTGCTATTTAGTAGGTGTCATCAATTGTCACTAAAGAACTTTTGAATGAACTCAGTCAAGTTTTGTAAAGTGGTGTTTGAAATGTTGTGAATCAGTAGAGGTCATTTAGGCCATTATAAAAGATACACATGTTTAGTTTCCTGCCCGCTTCCTTTTTGGAGGCCGCCTCTCCCTTTTTTTTTTTTTTTTTTTTTTTGTAATTTAATTTTTTAAAGAAAAAAAACATGAAAAACACAGCTAAAATGGATCGTTATCTGATTTTATAAATTAAAAAAATCTGGCAGCCATCTTGAAAAATAGCCCGACTGTCACAGAAAATGTACCATGCCTCCATTTTGAGCGGCCATTTTGAAAGAAAAAAAAAGGGCCCCTGATCACATGCAGAGTGTGCAGCATTTTTTTTGGAGGCAAAACCAAGACCGCTCTCATGAGACGCTTTTATGGACACAGATCTACCGTCAGCACATGCATGCTCGACATTCCAGTTGGCCATCATTTTAATTCCCCCGACCGATCTATCATCTTTGACATAATTCTATAGGTCCTAGGATCTCTAGGTTTACTGTATTGATTTACTAGTTGCAGCAGGGTGAAATATTGGATGAGACGTTGTTGGCGTTGTTCCCCCATTCACTCCTGTGGGCTCACCATTCAAGAAGGCAGTGATTAAGTTCATCCTCATCATTCTCTGGTTCTTGCTCTATTTTTTTTGTAGAGCAACTGTATGTTTTAAAAAAGTTTATTTTTAAGCTTAGCACTTGAACATAGATGTAATTGATGTAATTTGTTTGTGTGTGGGAAAGCTGTCATTAGAGGAGATTTGGATTTAATACATATTCTTGTTTCTCCTGTTTGTTTTCAGATCTTCCCCTGCTCTGACAACGTGTGGTCAAGTTTGTAAGGCCAGCTATCTGGCTGATGCCTTAGTTTCATGCAGTATACATACAGCAAGGAATTGGCTCCACCGTCGCTCATTCTTCAAGTAAGTTGGGAGGGGGAAGGTTTTTTTTATGCCTCTAAAGTTGCCAGGAAGGTGTTTCATAAAGCTTTTCGTAAAGTTACGCATGACTTGTATATGAAGTGCCAGATAGGATGCCCAAAGTTTTTCCTGATATTTTCAATAACCTCAATTAAATTATGGCAAAAAAATACTTTGCACTAAAAATGTTTGTTATCATAAATATGTTAAGTTACATCTGCACAGTTAAAATTTAGTTGATGTATTTAATAATGATTGAGCATCCCATTTGTCTTTTCATATACAAGTTGTTCGTAAAGTCATGCGTAACTTTATGAACAGCATTATGAAACACCCCCCAGGGGCGATATGTTCTCAGTATGTTCGGGATGACGACAAAGGTAACATGGCTCAATATTGTTGCAAAAATAGCTTGTGATCACGTTATTTCATGAACCATTTGACGGACTCCCACCGTTCCTGATTTGGGGGTATTTAGGGAAAAGGTAAAGATCTCAGTTGTTTGTATGCCCTGGTCCCTCCACTCAGTGTTATTTAGGTTATGCATATGCATGTTCCCAGCAATCCTAACTTTTGAGCAAAAGTCCAGTGTGTAAAGTCAATATGGGTAGATCTTTTTCTTTTGGTACAATGTATATAAGCCTTTTTTTAGCACCCCCCCCCCCTTTTTTTAGCAAAAGTCCCTTATGTAAAGTCAGTACGGGTAGATCTTTTTCTTTTAATAGGAGCCGGAGATTTTACAAACACTCAAGGTATCCCTCCATTCACGGAGTGGGGGGGGGGGGGGGGCGGGATGTATGCATGAATAGCTCAAAATTGTGATATCAGATGTAGTTGGCAGATTACTATCAAAAGGGAGTTGACAAATTTGTTTAGTGCATGTTAATTGGTGCTTTTTTATATATATTGTGCAATGGCGGAGGCATACACAGTCAGAGATCCATCTAGTTTAGTTTTTTACACTTGCATAATTTGTTTCTTTTCTAATTTACAATTTGGACAGCTACACAAACCATTAAGGAAGTTTGCTCTCTCAGGTCTGAGGTCCTGAAACGGGAGTCTCCATCCAGACTACCAATGATAGATCACCTCTTGTGACCGCCTTTTATCGCATCCATCCTTGCCTATTGTGACCGCCTTTCATCGCATCCAACCTCGCTTCTGTTTTATCCTGCATGGTACCGTAATCACCACATTCTCCACACTCTCGACTGTCTCCATTATTCACGTAAGCATCCCTTTGTTTACCCCCCCCCCCCCCCCTTCTCAATTTGGCCTTCCTTACTATAGCTCTCTGATTCCTTTGTTCTTATGCCTTCCTCTCTTTCCCCATCCAAATGCCTTCCTATTCAAGGTCTTCATCACTGCTTTCATCAGGCCTCCCCTATTCTTATTTACATTTTTCTTTACCCTCTCTCTTGTCCCATGATATATAACTTATATATATATATTTTTTTTTTTTCTTTGTGGTTTCCTCTCCATTCCCAGCCAAGTTTGATTGGCTGTCACAGCCTCTTTATTGTTCTATGTTTTCGCCCCCTTCCTTAGTTGTATGCATATGTTTGTATTATGTTTAGTACATTATGTTTTTAATGTTCCCTCGTCAGTTAGCCTCTGATGAAGTTTCCGGTAGGATAACAAATTTAGGCCCTATATTAACACTCATTAAATTACAATGATCAGATAAAACTTTGACATGATTTTGTACCTCCTTCATGAAAGCACAATCCCATAGATATACTTCATGTGTGTGTACTTTAAATATAGAAAAGAAAATATCATTTTGAAGGTTGGATAGGTTTTGTTGCGTCTTCAATTGTATGTGTGATAAGGGGAGCTAAACACCAAAGCTATTTTGTAAAACACATATCAACTTCAAGATTGTGTATAGCCTTCTAATATGTTTTCTATAGAGTTTGATAGCAAGTTTTGAGAAAATTGCAATTAATACACAAGTAGTCAACAATAAATTTACACAATTTTGTGTTGGGGTCATTCAATTCATACCAGTTGTATATCCCTTAAAAACCTATGTCCGAAACAAAAATTGTTCATTTCATAAAATATTCAAACTCATGCAAAATAATATGAATGTTAATGATTTAAATGTTATTATATATTTATGTTTTGTATTACAGTTGGAAGTTCTCATCACACTTGTCATCAAACCAGACAGCTTTCAACCAGAATCTTCCAGGTGTAAAAAAAAAAAGGTAAAGTAATACATTAGTAATATGAAATGCATATATTTTGGATTGTAAATCATTTCTTTATTTAAAAAAAAAAAATAAAAATACATAGAGTTCTGCACATGTACAAAATCACACCCCCAAAATAATGTTTATAACTATATGGAAATAACATGTACATTGTAGGTGTAAATGTCACCCTTTATATTTTGCGATTAATTATAGGTTTTGTCGTCAGATTAGAAGATGATGTAAATCATAGCAGAGGGAAAAAAAAAGATTACCTTTTTTATTAGGTTGGAGAGGTTTTGTTGCATCCTCAATTCTATGTGTGACAAGGAGGGCTCAACACCAAAGCTTTCTTGTAATACACATATCAATTTCAAGATTTCTATAGAGTTTGATAGCAAGTTTTGAGAAAATTGTAATTAATACACAAGTAGTCATTGGTTATTATACAAATGATGCACAGGTTTGAGTGCGTCGGTAGGGATTGTGTGCACAAGGTACCTTTGAATGGTTTTAGACCAAATTCAAAGGTACCGCGTGCACATAATCCCACAGCCCCACAAATTAAACCTGTGCATCATCTGTTTTATAAGATGGGGCCCCCAATATTGTCAAAAATACAAAATTATGTTATTCTACAGATTTACCGGATGCATGGCAAAATCATGCGTCTGGTAATTATAATTACCGGACGCATGATTTTTAAATTTGCATAATTTGTTTGTTGTTACTTAGTGCAATGGATTTAAACAAATGGAGAATGACTTAGGCCTAAACCTTAACAAAATAAAGTCAGTCCTAACTGACCTTTACATGAAACCTTAACAAAAGAAAGTCATTAAATCAATAAAAACTTAGCTCATGAATATGGGCGCTGCCAGTGCTAGCAGACGACGCTGAAAATAGGGAATTTGATGTCTCTAGATATATTTAAGTGTAATTTGGGACTCGGGTTCTGGTTATTTATAGGGAAAGAACCATTAGTAATTACCATAGTAACATTGCTCGATAGCTTATCAAAATCAAGAAATCAATGGTATTTACTATAGTTTGCAGAGATAGCATTAATTGTAAAGATATCATAGTTTTATGTGATGATTGATATGTATGACATACTGAATTGTTTTAATGAGGTTGCACTGTATTATGAAATGTTTGAGTGACATCAAAGTATGCAAATTAGTTGTTACCAAATTTAAATTTGTGATCCGTCAATTATTTGCAGTGATATGTGAAGACCGCGGGGAACTGCCAAAAAAAATAAACGGTCAACAGGGTTGTGAACGCAAATGAACACGATCCATTTGAAATTGCCATGACCTCCACAACAAATTTAACATGTTTAATTTTTGAAGCGGTTCCCGGCAGTATGCACGGATTACTCCGGATTAGAGCTGTAGTATTCCAGTTATTCCAAAAACGGTTATCCTCCCTCGAAATCCGTTTGGTTTTCGGTTAACCTATACCGAATTGTGAGACATAATTTTAATCTGATATGTATCAATTTGCTTGGATTAAACACCAAAGTGTTTATTTTCTTTAGTGGTACAAGGGTTTTGTAGTACTATCAGCCTAATTTCATTTATTTTCTTTGAAAATGTGATTGAACAATAATGATTTTTATCAATTTGATGTTGGTCATGATCAGTTTTACCCATGTTTTTAAAGTATTCAACATTATTTCTGCTTCATCTTGAGCTAAAACCTAAAAATGGTTTCAAATTGAAAACCGGTTTTGACTTTAGACGGTCAGTTTCAGTTTGGTTAACCTTTTGACTACAGCTTTACTGCGGATGAGTGACGGATCACTGTGGATTGAATACGATCAGGCGCGTACGCAGGAATTTTTCAAGGGGGGGGGGGGGGGGGGGGTTTTAACATTTATAAATCGGGCCGAAAATTTCGCAACGACTCAGCCAGCCGCTGAATAAGGGGGGGGGGGGGGGTAAGAGGACACTTTTTTCTTCTTTTGGGGGGTCTCGAAATTTGACATTTGGCTCCGTTGGGGGGGGGGGGGGGGTAAGGTCACCTTTTTAGGTCAGCCATGGGAATAATAATTTTTTTTTTTTTTTTTTTTATAATTAAAAAAAAAAACTAAACGGGGTGGGGGGGAGGTTTAGGGGGGGTTTACACACATAAACCCCCCCCCCCCCTGTGTACGCGCCTGAAAACGGTGTTAGTGCCTAAAGCCCCATTTACACATTGACAATTGAAACGGCAATTTATGGCAGTTTTACATTTTATGCGCACGCGGCATACTAGTACCTTGAGCATGTAAAGGCGCTATAAAAATACCAATATGTATGTATGTACTAGATTTAGGAAAATAAAGGTTGACGCATTCTTGATCGCCGACTGAGACGACGTAACGCATGCGCAGTGCCTTGAAATGACGTCACACGTTTCAGTCAAAGCTGTAGACGTGCAAATCTAAAAGTCCCTATTATCCCGTGTGGACGTAATTTAATCAATGAGCTCCACGATTAGCGTGACCTCTCCGTCAACCCTCTGTGCGTCCCTGTAGCTGGGATTATCTCGCCACTTCCGGCCAATGATTGATTGGGAGGGTTGCTTAAAAACTTAATCTTAAACATAAGTTGTCTTGTGGACGCTCATTATTTATGGGGTAAGCTCTTATTGATGATTAGCAATTGTCGATGATTAGGTACTGTTTAAATGTAACTATTGTAGGACATTTTAGGCCTGCTGTTGTGGAGGAACGTGGGACAGATTTATTGCTTTAAAGGTAGGCGTGAATTAGATCTCTAAATTTGAATCTTACAACAAAAAAAAAAAAAAAAATGTTATACAATTTTGATAATAGCTAGGTAGCTTCCAAAGAATGAATGGAATCTTGATACATATTTGTACTGCCTTCATGCTATCTTGAAGAAAAGTATCAGGTTGGATAATTAATGTAGGTGACCTTTGGGAAAAATCAATTCTAGCATAATAATTTAGCATGAAAAGTGCATACGGTAAGTAGTGTTTTGTCAAGCCCAGGGCCCCGTTGCATAAAACTATTGTATCTTAACAATTTATGGTATCTGTGCAAACTATGGTTATTACCATAGCAATACTGCTTGATAGCTAATCAAAATCAAGAAATCAATGGTATTTACCATAGTTTGCAGAGATACCATTAATTGTAAAGATACAATAGTTTTATGCAATGGGGCCTTGATGGTTGATATGTATGAAATACTAAATTGTTATAATGAGGTTAGACTGTATTTGAGTGACATCAAAGTATGCAAATTAGTTGTTGCCAAAGTTGAATTTGTGAAGGAATCTAACTTGGTTTTATTCATTTTTTTGTATTAGATATTTTTGTCATGTTTTACTTGTATTTTTCATTTTTTGTTTTGATGACAGGTGCCATCTGCCATTTGGACTTTTACTGAAGTAAGTTTTTGGAGTGTAGGTATACCGAGTGTCTGAAACAAAAGTTGACACTTTTGAATATTCTGCCAAATAAAAAATGTGAAACATTTTTGAGAAATTGTCATATGTATGGATGGTTGAAGCTCTCGTCTATCATATGGCAATAACAAATCTAATAATAATTGTTTCTTGGGTAAGCACTGGCCACTTTTGTAAAGGGTATGAAAATTAGGTTGCGCAAGATTTGGCTGAGCGAGAAGTCCCCCAGCATAACAATTGTTAATTGTCTGTTGAATTTATGATTAATTACGATGGATATGGGTTTGGGCTGTGTATGATGTGTTCCACCTCTTGCCCCACCCCACCCAACTACATTTAAAGGAAATGAAACCCTGATTTTTAGTCTTATTGTGTTAATCAAAAGTTAAATAATTATTATTCAGGTACAGAAATCATGCTTGCACAACGACTGCAAGCGAAACCAGAGCCGCATAAAGATCCCCTACTATACGGTTGTCTGCTTCAACGGGAGGTTCCACTGTACTAAAAAAAATAAAAAAATTCATGAGGTCATTTTGCTGGTCTCAACTATTTATATTTCTTTGGGGTTTTTTGGGGGCTAATATAAGGCCAACAAAAAAAAATTGTTTGGTTGTCCTCGATTGCTTTTCTGGAGTAGGGGCGGGCGGGCGGATTTTTTTTTTTTTTTTTTTTTTTTTTTTAATTCATTTTTGTGTGTATTTTTTTGATTTTTTTTTTTTTTAAATATTTTTTTTTCCATAAAAAAATAAATAATTGGGATTGTCAAGCATTTAAACAAACAACGTCTATAAAACACTTTAATATGGTAAAAGACTAGTTTAGTGTACAATGAATATCAAGACCAACACAGAAAGTATTTTGGGCTTTGAAATACAGCACCTTTTAAATCTCCATTGTACTACTTATAGCTACTTGCGCCCTCTATGTAGCAAACAATGCCTAATCGGTGACCATTGGTCCCCATGATCCTCTTTATCTTATATTAACTGAGAGCTGATTTGATGAGATAACCACCTGTCCAGTGACCTTGCAGGGTGGTCTAATCCCTCCTGTGAACTAGTACAGATGGGCTTTAAAATGAGTTCAAGAATGCTCAGAACCTGATTTGAATGAACAGAATTTTGACATAGAAAAATGAAAATGGCAAGTTTAATAAATACCTAATTGCATACTGAAAAGATCAAACTGGCAACGGGATGCATTTTGATCCTTGCAAATGCATGAAATGGTATGTTTGGCATTTAAGATTGCTCCCCCCCCCCAAAAAAAAAAAAAAAAAAAAATGAAAAAAAAAAAAAAAAATACGAGCGGCCCGAAAATAACGAGCGGGCGGTCGAGGACAACCAAACAACTTTTTTTTTGTTGGCCTAACAAGGTAATTTTTTTTTGGTCCCAAGGGCTTTGTTATAATGAGATTTTACTGTATATCAAAACAAGCGTTCTGTATATCAAAACATTCAAAATGGGCCTAAATTATACTGCCCTACTTTGGCAAAAGGAAGCAAGTGACATACCATCTAAATTTGAGTTATTGATGTTTTTATATCTGCAAATGACAGACACATTTTGTTTCTTTACAAGACATTTCACGACTCACGACAATAAGCCTCTAGCACTCTAAAGCTAGTTGGTGAGTCAAAGAAGAGTTGTGGTATACAGCACCTTGTCTGTGTGCGGGCAACTCACGACAATAACCCTAGCACTCTTAAGCTAGTTGGTGAGTCAAAGAAGAGTTGTGGTGGACAGTCAGGGAAAGTCTGTGTACGGGAAACTCACGACAATAAGCCTCTAGCACTCTAAAGCTAGTTGGTGAGACAAAGAAGAGTTGTGGTAGACAGCACCTTGTCTGTGTGCAGGCAACTCACGACATTAAGCCTCTAGCACTCTTAAGCTAGTTGGTGAGTCAAAGAAGAGTTGTGGTAGACAGTCAGGGAAAGTCTTTCACGTCAATAAGCTTCTAGCACTCTAAAGCTAGTTGGTGAGTCAAAGAAGAGTTGTGGTAGACAGCACCTTGTCTGTGTGCGGGCAACTCACGACAATAAGCCTCTAGCACTCTTAAGCTAGTTGGTGAGTCAAAGAAGAGTTGTGGTAGACAGTCAGGGAAAGTCTGTGTGCGGGCAACTCACGACAATAAGCCTCTAGCATTGTGGTAGACAGCAAAACATTTTACAGCTTTGACAATATTTACGACTTGAACTTTGAACTTTTGTCACTTGCTTCCTTTTGCCAAAGTAGGACAGTATAGTCTAATACAATACATATGCTATCAACTTTTTTTTCTTGTGTTTCTCTTTGACAGGTACTGGTTGAAGCAGATTTCATTATCATCTCCATCTCATCTCATACCATCTCATCTCATACCATTTCATCTTCACCCACAAAAGAAGCACTCATTCAAACCTTCATCCATCATAAAGTCTGTGTGCGGGCAACTCACGACAATAACCCTAGCACTCTTAAGCTTTGGTGAGTCAAAGAAGAGTTGTGGTATACAGCACCTTGTCTGTGTGCGGGCAACTCACGACAATAACCCTAGCACTCTTAAGCTTTGGTGAGTCAAAGAAGAGTTGTGGTAGACAGTCAGGGAAAGTCTGTTTGCGGGCAATTCACGACAATAAGCCTCTAGCACTCTTAAGCTAGGTTGGTGAGTCAAAGAAGAGTTGTGGTAGACAGCAACTTGTCTGTGTGCGGGCAACTCACGACAATAACCCTAGCACTCTTAAGCTTTGGTGAGTCAAAGAAGAGTTGTGGTAGACAGTCAGGAAATTTTACAATTTTGAACATATTGACGAATTTACGAACTTGAACATTTGAATCCTTCATTATCTTACTCTATCTACTCAATCTGAATCTTCATTATCTTACTCTGTCTACTCAATCTGAATCTTTATTATCTTACTCTTTCTACTCAATCTGAATCTTCATTATCTTACTCTGTCTACTCAATCTGAATCTTCATTATCTTACTCTATCTACTCAATCTGAATCTGTATTATCTTACTCTATCTACTCAATCTGAATCTGGATTATCTTACTCTATCTACTCAATCTGAATCTTCATTATCTACTCAATCTGAATCTTCATTATCTTACTCTATCTACTCAATCTGAATCTTCATTATCTTACTCTGTCTTACTGAAACTCAATCTTGATCTTACTCTGTCTTTCTGAAATTGAATCTTCAATTTCTGTGTTGTGTTGCTAAAACTGTGTGAAATTGTGTGAAAACTACAAAATAAGATACGAAACGAGATTTGACAAGAGTGTTAATAAACAATAAATAGAAGAAAATTTCTTTTTGAGTTGATTTTTAGTGAAAGAAATAAAGCTGACTGGTTGATTGCTTGTTTAAGATATTGGAGAAAATTGGAGTGTATAGAGAAAAAAAAGTGAATTGATTGAATAACTGAATTGTTAAAAATTGATTGTGAGAGATAGAGATATTTTTGATTGGTTGGTTGATTGAGTGATTTGATAAAAGTGACATTCGTGAATATTACCTTTAGCATATAAGGTTGAATATAGAAACCTAACTTTAAGACCAACAAGAGTGTTAATAAACAATAAATAAAAGAAAATTTCTTTTTTGAGTTGATTTTTAGTGAAAGAAATAAAGTTGACTGGTTGATTGCTTGTTTAAGATATTGGAGAAAATTGTTAGTGTACAGAGAAAAAAAAGTGAATTGATTGATAAAGAAAGAAATTTGTGTCTGGATATAGGCTCCTGTAGTGTTCATAGCTTTAGTATTATAAGTAAGCCGATTGCAGAGAGGTTGAGAACGAACATTGTATCAGGGTATATATATATATAGTTTTATAAATATAAATCGGCTTGATTGATTAGAAAGATAATAAGAAAAATATTTAAATTAGGATATAAAGTGGACTTTTTTTACACAGAGTTTTAATACAGATTGTTGTTAATAGAGCGCCATCACAAGGCAAATTAATATAATAAAGAGAAATTCCGTCACGATCAATACCTTCTAGATTAATATTTAACACAATTGCCGAAGAGCGCCATCTTTTGTCGAAAGCTATATATTTTTCTAGGCATTAATTTTCATTTTTGTTAAAAGGAAATAATTCCAAGAAGGAATACAGTATTGACAAGATATTGCATTGTCTATTATACAAAATACAACATACATTGACCTATAATCCATAGGCCTACATTTAACTTTAAAAAATAAAGAAATCCCCCCAAAAGCAAACACTTTGAACAGCAAATCAAAGACCATTATAAGGCAATTAGAGGTGATCAAGACATTACAGCTGGAATAGAAGGCTTCCTCTAAAGGAGTTTTTATCTTGAAACAAAAACATAATAGTCTGTAGTTCAGTAAAGATTTTGAATTGATATTGACAACAGTGATACTTCAAATTACAATTGTGCATCATAATTTGAATACAGATACACTGTATAAGATAATTTGGAACGGAAAACCTTGTCTTGACAAAGAAGCAAAAGGGCAGTTGTAATCTTATAGTTCAAAGCTTTGTACGAGATATTTTGTGATGGAGGAATACACTGATACATGTGTTTGTAAGAATTTAATTGGAGAGGATGAGATTACTGTAACTTGCAAGTCATGTACTGGTCCCTATCATGTTACTTGTATGGGTTTTCCATGTAAGGAGACGATCAATGACACAAATGATAGAAGATTGATAGACACTACTGAATTCAAGACAGTTGTTGATGAAATCTTAGATGTACTGTCTACTTGTGCACCACTGATGAATTCAGAATTTGATGCATGCTGCATATGTGAAAGTGAGATCGGAAATGAAATAAGTTCAATTTGTGAGTTTTGCAATAGTCATTTTCATGTTTCATGTATGCAACTGCCCTGTGAAGACAAACTGAATGATAGGAGATTGATTTGGATTTGTTCTTTGTGTGGAAATAACAACATGGCTCATCGCATGTTTGATCAAGTATGTATCCCTTCTCATTTCAATAGATACGAACTTCTTGGTGATCATGATGAACACTGTTACTTGGATTTGAACCAATCAAGGACCCTATCAAGTACGACCAACAAAAGAAAATGTGGCAGATCAAAGAAGAGGTATTGTAAAAAGGGAAAGAAAGCCAATCGATTGAGAGGAACACAACATCATATAACTGACAGGAAAACAAATGAGTCTGATAGACATAATCCTTTGGCTATGGAAAATCCATCCCAAATAGAACACGAAGAGATGCAAAATGAAAAATTTGAGGATGACTGGGTAATTGTAAAATCAAGGAAGACGAAATGGGTGGAGAAACTAAAATCAAGAAAATTGTATCCCAAATCAATAGATGATCATCAAACACACAGGAAAATCAGAAGAAAATCAGTGAATGGTGTAGTCTTGGAACCAGGTGTGACTTACATTGGCAAAGCAATGAAGAAATTCTATGAAAGTCATGAGAAAAAAAATGGAAACCGAAAGAAAAATGTATGTAAGGAAAACAAGAATGTGAAAAGAGAAGATGTCAGTTTGCAGTCTTATGTAGAAACTCTTTTGGCTATATATGCATACAGTGTGCAATCCCCATGTTCAATGAAATTGTACAGTGAGACCTGTGTGCAAATTGAAACGATGCAGACAAGATCTTGGGCTGACGTAGCAGGTTATTTGCCATCTCGATCAAGAACAGATTCATGTGTTGATATTCATGCCTGCACTCGTAATCTTTTTGAACAGATCAAGGATTTCCGAATGTACAGAGTTCATGCTGGTGGCAAGAGAAAAGAAGCAAAGAACAAGAAAGGTCGAGCAAGGAACAAGAAAGGTCAGTCTTCCAAAGCCGGGAAAAAAGGCACTGATGGAAATCACTCTTCTGATAAATCAGAGATTAGATTTGACAAAGATGAAGGAATAGAATTAGCAGTAAAGAATGAGAAGCTGGATACAAAGAAATCTATGAATGCAAGTGACCAAGGACTTGATCCAAATACATGTAAAAATGATGAACACTCAGACCAGCATATTTGCAATATGAAAGACAACAAAGGTTCAGATGGAGTTGTGCAGGACGATTCAAAGAATAATCTGTTGAAATCAAATTTTGATGAAAATAGGGAAATTGAAACGGACGATGATAGTGGCAGTGATGTTCATATACCAGTGAAACGTTCGTGTGCAAGAAATTGTATAGAATCTGATAGTGATACAGACACAAGTCCTGGATGTGTTTTATTCGATAGAAGTGTTTTACCAGAACGCAATATGCCTTTGAATGTTTGTGATAGACCAAAAGATATGCCCATAAATGAACCAGTAGACAATGTCTGTGAATCGGTATTGGAAAATGATGATATGATGAAAAATGATTTTTCAGATGTTTCAGATGGTGTACAAGAAGATGCAGTGTTTGACAATGACCTGAAGAATAGAAGCTTTGATACAGTAAAAGATGGTACAGACAATGATACTGGTATGTCATTTAAGGATCATGCTCATTCAAGGAATCCTTTAGAATCTTCTTCAGATTCAAATATCAAAGATGAAGACATTGAAAAGGCAATAGATGCTAATATGTACACATGTACTGATGAAACAGAAACAGAAGTTGAATTTGTAGCAGATCTTGGATTACGTGATAGACCAGATAAAGATTTCAAATTTGTACCCCTCCAGAATAATGACAAACAGAACATTTGTTCAAAACTGAATATCAGATATAAAGGCAAAGGCTGTGATTCAAGGTTAGATAGAAATAGCTCTATTGGAGTTCCTTTACAGAGTAAACAAATTACTGGTGATGGCAATTGTTTCTTTCGTGCAATTTCCTATGTAATTTCTGGAACTGAGCGTAATCATGCAATTCTAAGAAATGCCACTGTGAAACATTTATTGCAAACCAAGGACATGTTTAGTAATACATTGAGGCAAGAATATAGAACAGTCAGAGAATATGTTTTGAAACGTAGAATAAAGGAAGACGGAACGTGGGCTACAGACACTGAAATTAGCGCTTTAGCAAATTTAATCGATACTGATATTTATTCATACAATGACCAAGTACCATGTTGGCAATTGTACTCCGCAAAGAAACCTGGAAGAATCAATATTGTTACATCTGATAAGGGAATTTATATACTGTACACAGGAAATGTTCATTTTAATGTTGTTGAATCTGTAGATTTTGTCAATTTCAATTCATTGGAACAGACAAGAACAACTAAAGAAGATAGAACGTCAAAGAGAACTTTGCCATGTCCATCAATTCAGGCTGATGTTAAAGTAAAGCATGTGTTCAAAAAGTGTAGATCCAAGTGTCAGATAGAGGAAGAAATTGATGAAGTAGTGGATAAGTCTCCTGAAACATTTCAAAACCATGTTGATCCAAAGGGAAAAAAACGTAGGCTCACGTTGGAGACTGGTACGATAAATCACGATGAGAGAAAAGGTACTGCAAATCTTTTGGACATGACATATGAACAGTGTGCAAGTAATCAGTCTGAATCAGTCGTTCACAACGAACATAACACCAAGGACGAAACCCTTGAAAGTGATCACAAAGACAAATGCACGAGAGTCGATACACAAATAACGCTTGTTGCCCAAGGGACATTCAATCAAGGTGATACAAGATTTGGTGACTTAAGTGGAAAGCAGTGTGTTACCAATTCACTTTCTGCACTGTTGTATAGCAAGGTAAAAAATGCCAATGATTGGAAAAGTACAGATCTAGACAGGATTTTGAATAACGGTAATGAATTATACTGTTACATACGGCGATCCACTTCACTCGACAACCAATACTTATTGATATCTGATCTATTTGAATATTTGGATGCGTACAATGAATTGTTTAACATAGTACGCCGTGAACCAGTCACTGGATTGTTAGATGGAGATGAATTGATATTGGCCCAGTCTCTTTCGATGACATTGAAGCAAGCATTCGAAAAAGAACTCTGTACTGATTCTGATGCATGTTTTGTGACATTTGCTAGAAGTACTTTCATTGTATTATCTGGTCAAGATGGTTTCTTTATATTTGATTCACATTCCAGAAGCAGTCGAGGTTTCCTGAGTTGTAACGGACACAGTGTTGTACTTCGTACTCAAAGCTGGCAAGGTGTGTACAAGCATTGCATGAGGTTAGCAAAATCAATGGGATGCCCCCTGCACACCGAATATGAAGTAACTAGTGTATGTGCTAAAGCAACTTCCGGTAAGAATGAAACCTTGAAAGGCTATCCACAGTTACAGGATTTTGTTTGTAATCCAATTCCTTCGTCAAATATGCACAGTGAAAGTCAGTCTGGAAGCTCTGGATGTTCCATACATTGTGAAAGCTTTGATGAAGTTCAAATATTGGATGAGAGTGTTTCCCCACAAAAGATGATTGATAACCCAAATGTATTTCTCTTCCCTGAAGAAGCAAATGAAACAATCATTCATGATGTACATTATAACGGTCAGGAATTGAAACTGAAGAGTGTGACAATTGGCTTAACCAAACTAAAAGAACCACAGCTGAATAATAGTTGTCTTTTGAAAAGAAATGACTCTATCAAGACAAAATATGTAAATGAACAAAATGGAGATTTCAGAAATTGTACTAAATGCGGGAATGACTCTGATAGATTGAATTTAGTGACCAAAGTTCAGAATTCCAACTCTATCTTAAGCAGAAAACGAAAATGGAGTAACCTCGAAAGCGATGCAAAATTTGATGTCGACCTTGGCAAGGAAATTCAAAAAAACAAATTGGTAAAAATGAATGAGAACGACGGCTTAAGAATTGATGCAAGCGAATGTGCTGATAGTAATGACGAATTAATGATAATTGGAGAAGTTGATGTTGGAAATGTAGACCATGGAAAGAAAAAACGTAAACACAGACAAAGTTCTAATCAAAGAAGGGAGCGCACTAGACAGCTTATGAGAGAAAAACGAGCCTTGAACAAAGATGAAATAATTAAGAAAAAAGAAAAGTGTATTCACAATGCGCAAATGAGAAAAACGAAAAAAGTGATTAAAAAGAAAAATAAATATCAAAATGATTTAACCTACAACATGGAAAAAATAAATGAAGTAAAACAAAGACAAAAAGAGAATTACAACACTAATTTATCACAAAAAATAAAGCAAGGAGCTCATGTGAAACGAAGGCAAAAAGAAATGTATAAAGAGGATTTAAATTTCAGGAACATACAGCTAAATATTATGAAAACCAAATATCATTTTGATTTATGTTATAAAAAAACAATTTTGTATAGAAATAAACAAAAATATTTGAGAAATGAAGGATTCAAAGAAAAAGTTAAAACAGCTATGAGGACTAAAATGAAAAATAAATATTGGAACGATGAACAATTTAAACGAATGCACAAACAAAAAATAAGAAGTAAATATTCGAACGATGAACAATTTAAACGAATGCACAAACAAAAAATAAGAAGTAAATATTCGAACGATGAACAATTTAAACGAATGCACAAACAAAAAATAAGAAGTAAATATTCGAACGATGAACAATTTAAACGAATGCACAAACAAAAAATAAGAAGTAAATATTCGAACGATGAACAATTTAAACGAATGCACAAACAAAAAATAAGAAGTAAATATGCGAATGATCAACATTTCAAGGAAAAACAACGAGATACCATGAAAAAACAAATGAAGGAATTATATCGCAACGATCACTTCAAACATATAAAAAAGGCAAATATGAAAATATTGTCAAAAATTAGATATAAAGGCAACGAATTTAAGGAAAAGAAATTGATGAGCTTAAAAATTAAATATAAAAGAATTGAAAAATATAGGCAAAATGTAATAAAACGAAATCGAAAAAGGTCTGTACTTCGAACAGTAAAATTGTCCGAGTTTGATATTGTACTTGAAGAATTTAGAAAGATAATTTCTAATGGCCCAGAATATGTGTGCTGTGTATGCTTAAAACTTCTCTTTGAAAACCAAGTATTGAAATGTAAAAAGAGTAATTATAACATTCAGACATGCATAAGTGAAGAATATTTGCATGTTTGCAATTCAGAATGCCGGTCAAAATGTTTAATAGGCCAGTCAGCCAGATCGTCACTATGGATATGCTTCACCTGTCATAGAAAATTGCAAGCTGGAAAAGTACCTGCAGAAGCAAATATGAACAATTTACAACTACATGAAGTTCCAAAAGAACTTGCCAATCTGAACAATTTAGAACAGCATTTGATTGCATTGAATATCCCTTTCATGAAGTTAATGGCCTTGCCTAAAGGTGGTCAAAATGGAGTCCATGGCCCAGTCGTGTGCGTGCCTTCAAACACTTATGAAACAGTAGATATGTTGCCAAGACCACAGACTGAAGATCAATTGATCCGTGTTAAACTCAAACGAAAATTGTCGTACAAAAGCTATTATGAGTACAAATTTGTAGATAAATCTAACTTGCTTAATGCTCTGCAGTATTTAAAAGCAAATAATAAGTGGTATTTTGATGTTACAGTAAATGATAAATGGGAAAACTCACTTGAACGAAATGAAAAAGATAATGAAAAGGAAGAAGCAGTGGAAATCGGTGGTAAAGCTCGTTTAGCAAAATATTGGAAGGAAATGGAAGAACAAATTGATAACATTTTGTCCAAAGACAAAAATGCTAATGAAAACATGCAAGACAACAGTAAACTACAACAAAAAATAGATGACAAAGACACTGAAGACGATATGGAAGAACGCTTACGTGGTATTCAGTTAGACTCGTGTCTCCAGCCAGTAGATATTGGACAGGAAATATTAGATCAGTATTTTGAAGACATAATATGTTGTGCTCCTTGTGAAGGAAGAAGCCCTGTATCAATTCTTCAAGATGAAAGCAATGAGGCCAAATGTTTCCCAGTATTATTTCCTAAAGGTCAACCAACATTCCATGATAGAAGAGATGAAAAAATAACATTAGGCCGTTATCTGCATAACCGACTGATGCACGTGGACAATAGATTTGCTCAGAATACAGATTACATCTTTTATGCACAATATATCTATGAAATTCAACAGGTTATATCACAAGTTTCTATCGCTTTAAGGCAAAGTCCAAACAAAAAAGATGATTCGTCTTCAATAACTGCCTCAGATTTGAAAGATGCAGAGAAAGTTAAAAAAATACTAAAATCAGACAAGGGCTATAAATTTTTAAAGCAAATTCGTGGAACACCTCCATTCTGGCAAAAGACACAAAAAGATGTTCTCGCAATGGTAAGACAGCTTGGAAAGCCCACATGGTTTGCTTCTTTCTCATCTGCCGATATGAGATGGCCAGAATTAATGAATACATTGCTTAGACAAAAAGGAGACACCAGGGAATCGAGTGAATTAGACTATACAGAAAAATGTAATCTTTTAAGATCAAATCCAGTAACAGTTGCCAGAATGTTTGATAAAAGATTTCACACTTTTATAAAGAGAGTTATTTTATCTCCCGCTGCACCGATTGGTAAAGTAGTTGATTCATTTTGGAGAGTAGAGTATCAAGCTCGTGGTTCCCCTCACATTCATGCCTTGTTCTGGGTTCAAAATGCTCCACAGTTGGGTATCGATAAAGATGATGATGTCGTACAATTCGTAGATAAATACATTTCTTGCCAGAAACCGGATGAAAAGGAAGATCGAGAACTGCATGAAATAGTAAGCAAGGTCCAACAACACAGTAAGAAACATTCTAAATCTTGCACAAAAACAGGGAAGGCGTGTAGATTTAATTTCCCGAGACCACCATCTGGAAAAACATTCATTGTAACACCTGTTGAAGAGATTCCAGCTAAAGATTGTGGGAAAGTGCAAAATAAGGGAAAGGACAATGATCAAGTTAAAGCTTCTGAAAAGACTAAAGATGATGCAGAGAAATTGTTGAAGTCAGTTAAAGATGCATTATCCAATGGAATCGAGTACAACAGTGTAAACCATCTCTTTGAAAAGCTTGGCATTACACAAAATCAATTTGAGAATGCACATAATGAATTAGCATCACAACAAAGTATAATCATCAAAAGAGAAATACAAGATGTATGGGTAAATCAGTTTAATCCAAGTCTACTAAGAAGCTGGAATGCCAACATGGATTTGCAGTTCGTAACAAATGTATTTGCATGCGTGGCTTATATTGTATCCTACATGTCAAAAGCTGAACGAGAAATCGGAATGCTATTGAGTCATACACTATCAGAAATGAAAGAGGGAAATGAGAACGCAAAGGAAAGCATGAAAAAACTTGGCCAGGTGTACATGCAAAATCGTGAAGTGTCTGCTCAAGAAAGCGTCTATCGTGTTTGCAGTCTCAGATTGAAAGAATGTTCTAGGAAAGTGGAATTCATTCCTGTTGGACCCGACCCTGTCAGAATGAGTTTACCATTAAGCGTTATAAAAAGCAGACCAGATAACGATAATGATGATGATGAGAATGTTTGGATGCCTAGCAAGCTCGACAGATACAAAGCTCGACCTAAAAACGCAGAATTCAGTGATATGTGTCTTGCAACGTTTTGTTCTCAGTATAGAATCTTAACTGCATCCCAAAAGCCAAGTACAAGAAGTAAAAATGTCTTTAAATTAGATAACGATCTGGGGTATATTCAGAAGCGTACTCGTACGGGAGATGCAGTAGTAAGATATCCCCGATTCTCACCCATCATCTCACCCGAAAAATATTATTTGAGCATTTTGCAACTCTTTCTGCCATATTTTGAAGATGGACAATTAAAGCCGCCAACATTTGAAACACATGAAGAGTTCTACGAGACAGGTTCTGTGAAAATATGTGGACGTGAATTGGAGAAAGTCTGGTCAATTGTCTGTACTAACCGAAAGAAGTTTGAAATGAATGCCGATGCAATTGATCATGCACAGGAGCATCTTGACAAATTTGGTCCACACGAAGATGCATGGGGTCTTTTATGTCCGGAAAAGGAAGTAGAGCGACTTGAACATCCCAAAGAAAATGTAGATGTCGAAGATTGTGATGGAGATCTTGATATCCCAGATTTAAAGAACGAACCGAAAAAAGATGACTATAGCATCGAACTACGTTCTGTAAAAATTTCCAAACAAGATGGACATTCTTTGATGAGGTCTTTGAATGAGAAGCAACAGAGTGTTTTTTACAAAATACGACAGTGGTGTTTAGATAGAGTAAATGGAAAATCGGTCGAACCGTTTCATATGTTTCTAACTGGAGGTGCTGGCACTGGAAAGAGTCATTTGATCAAATGTCTTTACTATGAAGCAACACGTATACTAGCCCGAATGTTGCCACATCCTGATGATGTCTCAGTATTGAAAATGGCTCCAACCGGAGTAGCTGCATACAATATCAATGGCCATACTATACATAGTATTCTTTCTATTCCAATCAATGCACAAGTACTGTATCAACCGCTGAGTGATGAGAAAATAAGTGTCCTTCGAAATAAGCTGGCTGAATTGCAAATTTTAATCATAGATGAAGTATCAATGGTAGATCAAAAGATGATGTCTTACATTCACGGCCGCCTACGACAAATAAAACAATCACGAGATCAAACTGCTTTTGCTGGTGTTTCAGTTATTGCTGTGGGAGACATGTATCAGTTACCTCCAGTCTTAGGAACTCCTTTATATAAAGACACACTCAATGGTGCATTGTGGAATGCTAATTTCAAGAAAGTAGAACTTGAAGACATTATGAGACAAAAAGACGATACCCAATTCGCTTTTCTCTTAAATAGATTACGTGTAAAACAAGGGGAAGAGATTCTCTGTGATGAAGACCTAGCAATGCTCAAGTCCTGTGAGACTGGTGAAGAATGTGAAAATGCTCTGCATATCTATGCATGTAACAATGAAGTAGATGCTTGGAACAAGAAATTATTGCATAAAAAATGTGGAGATGTGATATGCGTAAAAGCACAAGACATGGACAAAGATGTTAAAAAAGGAAATCAAATACGGGAAAAACCTTATACAAAGATGAAAACCCAGTTGCCTCCTTATCTGTGGATTGCAGTTAATGCTAGAGTGATGTTGCTCAAAAACATTGATGTTAGTAAAGGCCTGACAAATGGATGTTTCGGAAATGTAACAGAAATAATAACGGATCATACAAATTTGAATCCAGTTTGCATCAAAGTTAATTTTGAGAAGGCCGATATTGGTATTCATTCAATCGAAATGTCTCAAGAATCCATTGGTAAGAAATATGTGAGAAAACAATTTCCACTTAAGCTTGCTTATGCTTGCACAATTCATAAAGTACAAGGTTCGACATTAGACAAAGCTGTTGTATCATTAAAAAATGTGTTTCAATCTGGACAGGCATATGTTGGGCTTAGTCGCGTTACTTCGTTATCTGGACTTGTGATAGAACATTTCGATCCTAAACGTATATATTGTAATCCAGAAATTAAAGAACGCATTGAGATTATGAAGCCGTTTATCGAGAATGAAACTTCTGAAGATATTCACGATTATAACTTTTCTTTGGTAATGCAAAATGTACAAGGATTAAAACAGCATTTTACTGATTTCAAATCCCAGTGCCAATTTGTGAATGTAGATTGTATTTGCTTGACCGAAACATGGATTAATGATGATGATCTCTGTGACGTTATTTTAGATAACTTTCGATTTTATCATCAGCCACGACATCTGTCATACTGTAATTCTGGAGTTGGAAATGTACTCAAAGAACAATCGCACGGAGGTGTTGCAATGTATATCAAGAATACATATTCAAGTAGATTAAACATATCTGTCGACAACTTAGAGTTTATCGCAATTCTTGTCACCAAACCAGTTTCTGTTGTGATTTCAGTTGTTTATCGACCTCCATCATATAGTATCAAATCATTCTGTGAATCATTAGACAATTTGCTAGATGCATTACACAAAAGAAGCATTAGGTGTATTGTGATGGGAGATTTTAATGAGGATTTGTTTAAAGGTTCTTCACAGGTAAACAGGCTAATGTGTAATAAAGGTTACAAACAGCATGTTGTTAATGCTACTACTGAGAAGGGAACATTGATAGATCATGTGTACAGCAAGGGACTAGATTTATTGGAAACAGAGGTCATCCCTACATATTATAGTTACCATGAAGCTGTTAAGATTGCATTTTGATATTTATTGTAAGGCCAAATAAAAAAAAAAAACATGTTTAGCGTCCTGTTTTTTCGAAAAAAAGGAAGGAGGCCCTTTACACCTGGAGTAATTTGGCAATTCTATGACATATCTTTTTGCTTTGAAAATGTTACATTGGGGATTGCATAGACAGAATACTTTTTAAGTCGAATGCTTTCATTAATAATGTTAACACTTTTAAAAAAGAAACATTTAGTACTGTTTATATTCCTAATCTTCAAATGATTTTGTTTATTTCACTTCTTCAGATAACTTCTTCAGATGACTGCAAAGCGCAACATTGCAAAGCTCATTTCTACAACCCTAGTCACCAATGACAGTGCACCACCATATCCCTTTGCTCACCAGTTCAAACAAACTACCGCCCTCGAGTCAGAAGGCTGTCCTCATCATCCAACACACAGCGGTAACATCACCCAAGGACTTGAGCCCTCCGGTGATACCTGGTTCAGCAAAGACTAGGCCTTGGGGAGTGTTTACGGCTCTGTCATCATAACAGCATTGTGGCAGAAGTATGGAACACCAGCATATACAGGGTAAGGAAAGATTACCAAACTAAAATGTTTGAAAAAGCCTAACCCTACTGTACTGAGTTATTTCAAGCTCCTCCGGATAGATGGTTGACCTCGGCCACTACACTGTTGATTCCCACAAAATTGGCACACCTGGAGTAAATTGGCAATTCTATGACATATCTTTTTGCTTTGAAAATGTTACATTGGGGTTGCATAGACAGAACACTTTTTATGTCAAATGCGTTCATTAATAAGGTTAACACTTTTAAGAAAGAACAATTCAGTACTGTTCATATTCCTAATCTTCAAATGATTTTTTTTAATTTCACTTCTTCAGATAACTTCTTCAGATGACTGCAAAGCACAACGTTGCAAAGCTCACTTCTACAACCCTAGTCACCAATGACAGTGCACCACCATATCCCTTTGCTCACCAGTTCAAACAAACTACCGCCCTCGAGTTAGCCTATCCGATAGGCGTCGGGCTAAATGGCAAGTGTACTAATCGCGTTTGGGAGACTGATATCGGCGCGGGCGTCAGCCCGAGCGCCTATCATCACTGGTCAACTCATCATTATTCATATATGTGTATCGTATGTGTGACGAGCGTATTCCATGTATGATTCATAAGACTAGCCTTATTTGGTGATCGATCACTTTGATTCAACCAATCAAATATCATCTCCGCGTTCCCCATCGCTCATTGGCCTATTTTGGTCTATGCTACATAAATATTCATGAAAGAGCTTTGCAGGGGGTTCATAGATTTTCTACGAACGAAACATGGTACATAAAAGAAAATAAAACTTTTCGTAAGGACCAGTGATGATAGGCGCTCGGGCTGACCGTGCCGATGTTACGCTCCATATAAACGCGATTAGATTGCTTGTAAAGCCCGACGCATATCGGATAGGCTACCCTCGAGTCAGAAGGCTGTCCTCATCGTCCAACACACAGCGGTAACATCACCCCAGGACTTCAGCCCTCCGGTGATACCTGGTTCAGCGAAGACTAGGCCTTGGGGAGTGTTTACGGCTCTAGCTGTCACCAAAACAGCATTGTGGCAGAAGTATGGAACACCAGCATATACATGTAATGTATCGGGACCTTCACAGGGCAAGGAAAGATTGCCAAACTAAAATGTTTGAAAAAGCCTAACCCTACTGTACAGAGTTATTTCAAGCTCCTCCTGATAGATGGCTGACCTCGGCCACTACACTGTTGATTCCCACAAAATTGGCACACCTGGAGTAAATTGGCAATTCTATGACATATCTTTTTGCTTTGAAAATGTTACATTGGGGTTGCATAGACAGAATACATTTTATGTCAAATGCGTTCATTAATAAGGTGAACACTTTTAAAAAAGAAAAATTCAGTACTGTTCATATTCCTAATCTTCAAATGATTTTTTTTAATTTCACTTCTTCAGATAACTTCTTCAGATGACTGCAAAGCGCAACGTTGCAAAGCTCACTTCTACAACCCTAGTCACCAATGACAGTGCACCACCATATCCCTTTGCTCACCAGTTCAAACAAACTACTGCCCTCGAGTCAGAAGGCTGTCCTCATCGTCCAACACACAGCGGTAACATCACCCCAGGACTTCAGCCCTCCGGTGATACCTGGTTCAGCGAAGACTAGGCCTTAGGGAGTGTTTACGGCTCTGTCATAACAGCATTGTGGCAGAAGTATGGAACACCAGCATATACATGTAATGTATCAGGACCTTCACATGGTAAGGAAAGATTGCCAAACTAAAATGTTTGAAAAAGCCTAACCCTACTGTACTGAGTTATTTCAAGCTCCTCCGGATAGATGGTTGACCCCGGCCACTACACTGTTGATTCCCACAAAATTGACACACCTGGAGTAAATTGGCAATTCTATGACATATCTTTTTGCTTTGAAAATGTTACATTGGGGTTTGCATAGACAGAATACTTTTTAAGTCAAATGCTTTCATTAATAATGTTAACACTTTTAAAAAAGAAACATTTAGTACTGTTTATATTCCTAATCTTCAAATGATTTTGTTTATTTCACTTCTTCAGATAACTTCTTCAGATGACTGCAAAGCGCAACATTGCAAAGCTCATTTCTACAACCCTAGTCACCAATGACAGTGCACCACCATATCCCTTTGCTCACCAGTTCAAACAAACTACTGCCCTCGAGTCAGAAGGCTGTCCTCATCATCCAACACACAGCGGTAACATCACCCAAGGACTTGAGCCCTCCGGTGATACCTGGTTCAGCAAAGACTAGGCCTTGGGGAGTGTTTACGGCTCTGTCATCATAACAGCATTGTGGCAGAAGTATGGAACACCAGCATATACAGGGTAAGGAAAGATTACCAAACTAAAATGTTTGAAAAAGCCTAACCCTACTGTACTGAGTTATTTCAAGCTCCTCCGGATAGATGGTTGACCTCGGCCACTACACTGTTGATTCCCACAAAATTGGCACACCTGGAGTAAATTGGCAATTCTATGACATATCTTTTTGCTTTGAAAATGTTACATTGGGGTTGCATAGACAGAATACTTTTTATGTCAAATGCGTTCATTAATAAGGTGAACACTTTTAAAAAAGAACAATTCAGTACTGTTCATATTCCTAATCTTCAAATGATTTTTTTTAATTTCACTTCTTCAGATAACTTCTTCAGATGACTGCAAAGCATAACGTTGCAAAGCTCACTTCTACAACCCTAGTCACCAATGACAGTGCACCACCATATCCCTTTGCTCACCAGTTCAAACAAACTACCGCCCTCGAGTTAGCCTATCCGATAGGCGTCGGGCTAAATGGCAAGTGTACTAATCGCGTTTGGGAGACTGATATCGGCGCGGGCGTCAGCCCGAGCGCCTATCATCACTGGTCAACTCATCATTATTCATATATGTGTATCGTATGTGTGACGAGCGTATTCCATGTATGATTCATAAGACTAGCCTTATTTGGTGATCGATCACTTTGATTCAACCAATCAAATATCATCTCCGCGTTCCCCATCGCTCATTGGCCTATTTTGGTCTATGCTACATAAATATTCATGAAAGAGCTTTGCAGGGGGTTCATAGATTTTCTACGAACGAAACATGGTACATAAAAGAAAATAAAACTTTTCGTAAGGACCAGTGATGATAGGCGCTCGGGCTGACCGTGCCGATGTTACTCTCCATATAAACGCGATTAGATTGCTTGTAAAGCCCGACGCATATCGGATAGGCTACCCTCGAGTCAGAAGGCTGTCCTCATCGTCCAACACACAGCGGTAACATCACCCCAGGACTTCAGCCCTCCGGTGATACCTGGTTCAGCGAAGACTAGGCCTTAGGGAGTGTTTATGGCTCTGTCATAACAGCATTGTGGCAGAAGTATGGAACACCAGCATATACATGTAATGTATCAGGACCTTCACAGGGTAAGGAAAGATTGCCAAACTAAAATGTTTGAAAAAGCCTAACCCTACTGTACTGAGTTATTTCAAGCTCCTCCGGATAGATGGTTGACCCCGGCCACTACACTGTTGATTCCCACAAAATTGACACACCTGGAGTAAATTGGCAATTCTATGACATATCTTTTTGCTTTGAAAATGTTACATTGGGGTTTGCATAGACAGAATACTTTTTAAGTTAAATGCTTTCATTAATAATGTTAACACTTTTAAAAAAGAAACATTTAGTACTGTTTATATTCCTAATCTTCAAATGATTTTTTTTAATTTCACTTCTTCAGTTAACTTCTTCAGATGACTCCAAAGCGCAACGTTGCAAAGCTCACTTCTACAACCTTAGTCACCAATGACAAGGCACCACCATATCCCCTTGCTCACCAGTTCAAACAAACTACTGCCCTCGAGTCAGAAGGCTGTCCTCATCGTCCAACACACAGCGGTAACATCACCCCAGGACTTCAGCCCTCCGGTGATACCTGGTTCAGCGAAGACTAGGCCTTGGGGAGTGTTTACGGCTCTGTCATAACAGCATTGTGGCAGAAGTAGCCTCGATCTCGACCAAGACATTTTGAATGCCACTCTGTATGGCTCAGCATCCTTTTTTTTCTTTATTCATACTAACGTGTGTTCATGTCCATTTTTCCACCTATGATTCTTACATTTATTTTCTGATACCATGTTTCTGTGTGATTTTAGTCTTATTTTTACTGGTATGACAATGTAAACATATACCTTTGTTCCACACAAGATATTTTGGGATTTTGTGTGCACTTCCATGTAACTACATGTATTTTTATATGATAGTTTTTGTTTCTGATTGTTCAATTCCTTTTACGCTCTCATTCCTTTATAGTTGTATCTTATTTGAGACAGAGAAAGAGAGAGGGTGAATAGTAGAGAGAGAGAGAGAGGGGGGATGCAGAAACAAAGCGCCATTCATGATGTATTTTATTACATTTGTGTTTTAACTTTGCACATACATTGCAAGATTTCGGGGATTTAACACGTTTATTTTTCTGTAAGTTTGTAAATCCTTGTATTCACACAGTGTTTTGAGTGATATATTGTAAAGATAGATCTTATGCATGCTCCTTGGGAAAAGAAGTTATACATGCTTGTCACTCTTCTTATCTTGGCATTACCGTAATTCTTATATTGGTTGATGTTGCTGATATATGAAACAGAATCTGATGGATATCATTGATAACAGTTACTGTTTGTCTTCTTTTTAACATCAGGATAACAGATCTTATTAGTACAGCGAAAGACAATTCACTGTAATTTGTTATATTTTCATATATTACACGATTATGATTTTCAATGGCACATGTTTGTACACTACAATTTTATGTCATTAGAGGTCACATATCCAGTTTGTTTCGTGAATAGTCAATATTGGATTATGATATGATTATAATGTCAGTTTATTTGCAACATTTACCCCATATATAGTGGTACCTTACGATCAACTGTCAATATCTACTGCATTCACTATACATAGCAGTGTCTTGCTTGCTGTAACAAAGATGTATATAGGGCTGTTAGGGATTATCCATAATGTACATTGTTTTTTAGTTTTATTGTTATTGTGTTTATCTGAACTTATATCTCACTTCCTATGTAGGGGGCCTTTCATATAATCAGTAGGTATCTTGTTTATGTACCTGTTTTATATATGTATTCCATTTCTGTTGAATATATACATGTTAAAATGCCCTTTTCAGAGATTTGTACAATGCTGCTCTTTTCAGTATGTGCTTTTATTTTGGTATATCAAATTTAATTGGATTTGCTGTTTTTTTTTTTTATTTTTTTTTTTAATGTGTTCGAAGATGATAGGTGATTACCATTTGTAATATTGCATTGCGGTTCTTTTTTAGATCGCCAAGGAAATAGCGTGATGTTAAGTTTGGTGCAGAATGTCATTTACATGCATGTAGATAGGTCTATGCAATTTAGCTTTGACTTTGGTTTGATAAGCTTAATTGTTTAGTGCTTTGAACATGAATTTAACAATGAATAGACCTGTTTACTAATGTACTTCATTTCATGTTTCTGTCTATAGTACATGGTAGGGGTAAAAAAAGAATACAAAGGTTAGAAGGAAAAGTTAAAGAAGATTGGGGAACACTGGAAGACATAATAGAGGGAGAACGAGAGTCAGAGGCGGAAAAGGGAGAGGGTGAGAGAGTATAACAAAAGAGAAGGGCGGAGATAGATCGAGACATCGCAAGAGAGACAGAGGGAGGCAAGGAAGGGAGAGGGTGAAGAGTAGAGAGAGAGGGGGATGCAGAAACAAAGCAAGAGAGAGGGGCAGAACAAGAGAGGAGAAGGGGAATATAGCAAGAGAGAGAGGAGAAAGAGAAAGAGATGCAATCGAGGCACTCTACTAGCATAAATAGATTTGAATATTTACTATATAGAGAAAGGGAGAAGTTATAGACAATCATGATGATGATGAACATGAAGGTGATGGTAATGATAATGTTAGATGATGATAATAATGATAATGTTAATGATGATGTTGATGATCATCAGACCATCACGATGATGATGATCATGATGATATTGATGATGATGATCATGAGCGTGATCCTGACATCTGATTGAAAAAAATGAGGGGACATTTAGATAGCATATAGTCTCAGCTACAACATGCTCAAAAATATTTTTAAAAACAAGCGGAAATAACGGCGATATTGCTCTCTAAAGACAGGAATGTAGAATCCAGATTTGAGAAAAAGTCATCTCCCATATAGAAAAAGAGAGAAATTATAACGATATGTACATGTAAACAATGATCATAATGATGATGATGATGATGATGATCTTGATAGTAATTAATGGTGATGATGTTGATGATCATGATCATGATCAGACCATGATGATGATGATGATATTGATGATGATCATGAGCGTGATCCTGACATCTGATTGAAAAAATGAGGGGGACAGTTAGATAGCATATAGTCTCAGCTACAACATACTAAAAAATCAACAAAAACCGAGCGGAAATAACGGCGATTATTATTGCTCGCAAAAGACAGGAATTTAGAATCCAGATTTCAGACCATGATGATGATGATCATCATCATTATGATCATGATGATCATGATGATGATCATGAGCGTGATTCTGACATCTGATTGAAAAAATGAGGGGACATTTAGATAGCATATAGTCTCATGCAGCTACATATGTACTCCAAAATCAACAAAAACCAGGCGGAAATAACGGCGATATTGCTCGCAAAAGACAGGAATGTAGAATCCAGATTTGAGAAAAAGTCATCTCCCATGGGGATTACAGGCGAAAAGTAATGGATCAAGTGATAATAGGGTAATAATAAAGTAAATATGGTTGTTTATTACATTATTTGCGATTCTACGTGTAGTTATGTGATATTTGCTATATCCATCAGAAACTTGTCTGTACAAAACAGTGAAATACTGCCCTCTCCGGCAGAATAAAGTAAGCTTAGCAACGAGCATAATGGAGTATACTTCTAGCAGTATTACTTTCGTATTTATGGACATATAAGATACGACATTTGGCGACGAGGATGGGATTCTCATTCCAGGACATCACTATGATGTTCCCCCTGCCCCTAACATTCACTCCCGACATCCTGCCCCCACCAGTCGCCCTTCTCGTACCCGGCGACGGCCTCGATATTTGACAGACTATATGTCGATGGCCATAGAACTATATTTCGGTTCCTCCCTTTTGTCAGTACCCATAGTGTTTTGGTTACATGCATGTTTTGGATGAAATGCCTTCATCTCAGTAGCTAGTTTGACCCCCCCCCCCCCAATAGTTGTTTATGCATTTTGTCATTCTGATGTTTGTCTTTACCGGTAATCTTTTCATACTGCTTCGCATCTACCATGTACCAGTTCCACTCCATCACACTGATTGATACGGAATGTTTTTTTCCTAAATCCTTTTTTCAAGCAATTTTCAGTTGTTAGTTCAATAATGCAACAGTCTATTTTTTTATATACAGATACTGTTCGAATGATGATGATTATTTTGATATGTTTGTCATTATTGTTCATTGAAAAGGGAGAGAGGAAGGATGGAAAGAGGATTAATATTTCACGAACAAAACAGATATTGTAAACAAACAAACAAAAAATGATATAAATGTACGTACATGTATGTATGTGAAATTACTGTACACTGAAAGTAAAAACATGATGTGTTTATTAGTAATTTCGTTCAGAAGCATTATTGTTGTATATTTGTGTGGTACAATGTATTTTTAACTTGGACTGTTCTTTGCATCATTAGTTCCCAAAAGAAAAAGTACAAGAACAGAAATGATTTATTTTGGTTAATAACATCTATTTTATTGTCATGCTGTGCAAGTACACATATATGCACAACTTTGTTGCAAATGATGTTGAAGTGCCAAATGTTGCACAATACTCTAATGTTTCAGTTTGGTGTTTAGCAGACCTCAATAAGGTGTTTTCAAGGTTGTTAGTGTTATGAAAGTTCTATTTGACTTTGTCTAGTATTTTGCAGTTCATGATTTCGACAAGGATTTTGTAATGTCAGGTTTAAGACAGCAGTCCTTTTATTGTTGTGTTTGCATTCAGTTGATCTGAAATATAACTAACCTCGTATAGGATTCTACACAAATACAAGTGCTAACAACTCTCAGAAGAAAATAGCCAAATCACTCATATATATTTTGGTTGTTAGATTTGATTTTAATATCCAAACCGATTCAGTTACATACTATTATGTGCCGATACTGTATGTATTCAACAGGCTTAATGCACCTTCTCCAACAGTATAGGAAACTCTATCCCAAAGAAGGGAGAGGTGTAGTAATGTGATATTTGCTATGTATATCCATCAGAAACTTGTCTGTACGAAACAGTGAAATACTGCCCTCTCCGGCAGAATAAAGTAAGCTTAGCAACGAGCATAATGGCGTATACTTCTAGCAGTATTACTTTCGTATTTATGGACATATAATATACGACACTACGTGTTTTAAAATTCAAAGGAGATTGCACAGTGAAAGGTCAAAATGAAAAAAAAGTGAAGAAAAATATTGGTAAAGACGCCCGGACTCGAACCAGGGGTCTCAAGGTCGGAAGTCAAGTGCGTTACCGATATACCAAAACATTTCCAATAGCGATTACACGTAAACGGAAAATGGAATTCGCAAATCCAACTTTGCAAGTGAAATATGAGCATGATCCCGGCATCTGATAAAAAAATAAAGTAAACATTTGTGATAGCTCATTGTCTCAGCTACATCATACTCAAAGCTCAGCGAAAACGAAACTAAAACAACGGAGATATTGCTCGCGAAAGACGGGAATGTAGAATCCAGTTTTGAGAAAAAATCATGTCCCATAGAGAATACACGCAAAATGTTAAAAATTGACATGCCCCCTTTAATCGCAAATTACGCAATGATCCATTTGTCAAAATGAAAAATTGTGGCAACTGCATTTGTAGAAAATTGTCTCAGCTAGAACATATCAAAATTTGGAAGAAAATCGGTCAACATTTACAGAGATACAATCAATTTTCCAAAAATATGCTGACGTCAAAATATGCAAATTGAAATTTTGAGTTCGGAGGCCATTATGATGACGTCATGAGTTAATTGAGGGTCAAATGAGACATGAAATCATATCTCCAATTCATACTCTATCAAAATATGAAAACAAAATTGGGATCACCTTGCATCCTTAAGCGCTACAATGTATTTTGTATAGGCATGTTTTTGCCCATGTATGCTATGTATTACAAGAGCTCGCACGCACGGAAATTATCTTAAACGGACGCTCATTCCGTTATTAATGGGCAGAAAAAGGTGAAAAAGGTATCAAAATGCTTGGGAAAATGTGCCAAATACGATGACAGAGAAAATTTGGCGATTCTATGTTGAAAAATACCAGTACGCGCGAAAACGCGCGCGCATGTGTGTGCGCGCGTTTTTTTTGCAAAATGCTTAGAATGGCCTAAAACGTGTGCAAAATGAATTTGGGACGATTTTGAGCATTTTTATTTTTTGCGCGCGCGCTAACGCGCGGACGTACGCATGCGCGTGCGTTTTCTGACTTGAAATTGACCGGACGGATATTGACCTTAATCATGATAAATATGAATGAGAAATGCCTTTTCGTTATGAAGATATGATCATGAGTAAAAAGTACCAAAAAAAACACAAAATGGCGCCTGGATGACGTCATCAAGACTTGATGACCTTGAAAATGTTACACTGATGTCTCATGACAATGACCTATGACTGTGCCAAAATTGAACGAAATTGATTAAACCGATCTTGAGTTATCCTGTTCACAAAAAAGTGGGAACAATAAATAAAAATAAAGAATAACTAGAAATTTAATTCGTCATGGGGACGAATTAGGTGGTCTGTCTTCAAGTCTTATGATGTATTATAATATTTACTATATTGAGAAAGGGAGAAGTTATATAGACATGTAAACAATGATGATCATGATGATGATGATGATCTTGATAGTAATGGGGATGACGATGATGATGATGATGATGATGATGATGTTGATGATTATCATTAACAGACCACGATGACATCAGACTGAAAAAAATGAGAGAACATTTAGATAGTATATAGTCTCAGCTACAACATACTCAAAAATCATCAAAAATCAAGCCGAAATAACGGCGATATTGCTCGCAAAAGACAAGAATGTAGAATCAAGATTTGAGAAAAAGTCATCTCCCATAAGGATTACACGCAAAAAGTAATGGATCTAGTGATAATAGGGTAATAATAAAGTAAATATGGTTGTTTATTACATTATTTGCGATTGTACGTGTTTTAATATTCAAAGGAGATGGTAGAGTGAATGGTCAAAAAGAAAAAAAAGTGAAGAAAAAAAATTGTTGGAGACGCCCGGACTCGAACCAGGGACCTCGAGGTCGGAAGTCAAGTGCGTTACCGATATACCAAAACATTTTCCATAGAGATTACACGTAAACGGAAAATGGAATGCACAAATCCCACTTTGTAATTGAAATATGAGCATGATCCCGGCATCTGATCGAAAAATAAAGGGCACACTTGTGATAGCTTATTGTCTCAGCTACAACATACTCAAAGTTCAGCGTAAACAAAGCTAAAACGACGGAGATATTGCTCGCAAAAGACAGGATGTAGAATCCAGTTTTGAGAAAAAGTCATGTCCCATAGAGAATACACGCAAAATGTGAAAAATTGACATGCCTCCTTTAATCGCAAAAATACGCCATGATGCCTTTGTCAAAATGAAATATCGTGTTGACTGCATTTGTAGAGAATTGTCTCAGCTAGATCATATCAAAATTTGAAAGAAAATTGATCAATATTGACAGAGATACAGTCTATTTTCCAGAAATCTGCTGACGTCATAAGATGCAAATTGAAATTTTGAGTTGGGAGGCCATTATGATGACGTCATGAGTTAATTGAGGGTCAAATGAGACATGAAATCATATTTCCAATTCATACTCTATCAAAATATGGAAAAAAAATTGGGTTCAACTTGAATCCTAAAGCGCTACAATGGATTTTGTATAGGCATGTTTTTGCCCATGTATGCTATGTATTACGAGAGCTCGCACGCACGGACATTATCTTAAACGGACGCTCATTCCGTTATTACTGGTCAGAAAAAGGTGAACAAGGTATCAAAATGCTTGGAAAAATGTGTCAAACATGATGACAGAAAAAATTCAGCGATTCTATGTTGCAAAATATCAGTACGCGCGAAAACGCGCGCCCATCCGCGTGTGCGCGTTTTTTTCAAAATGCTTGAAATGGCCTGAAACGTATGCAAAATTAATTTGAGACGATTTGGAGCATTTTTATTTTTTGCGCGCGCGGTGACGCGCGGACGTACGCATGCGCGCGCGTTTTCTGACCTGAAATTGACCGGACGGATATTGACCTTAATCGTGATAAATATGAATGAGAAATGCCTTTCCGTTATGAAGATATGATCATGAGTAAAAAGTACCAAAAAAAACACAAAATGGCGCCTGGATGACGTCATGAAAACTTGATGACCTTGAAAATGTTACTCTAACGTCTCATGACAATGACCTATGACTGTGCCAAAATTGAACGAAATTGACTAAACTGATCTTGAGTTATCCTGTTAACAAAAAAGTGTGAAAATAAATAAAAATAAATAATAATAATAATAATAATAATAAAGAAAGAAAATTCTGACGAAAACAATAGGTGATCTGTCGTTGACAGACCACCTAACTAGAAATTTAATTCGTCATGGGGACGAATTAGGTGGTCTGTTTTCAATTTTATGATCATTGAAAAGTCAAAAAAGAAAAAAAACTAGAAATTTAATTCGTCATGGGGACGAATTAGGTGGTCTGTTTTCAATTTGATCATTGAAAAGTCAAAAAAGAAAAAAAAATGAAGAAAAAAAATTGTTGGAGACGCCCGGACTCGAACCAGGGACCTCGAGGTCGGAAGTCAAGTGCGTTACCGATATACCAAAACATTTCCCATAGAGATTACACGTAAACGGAAAATGAAATACTCAAATCCCACTTTGCAAGTGAAATATGAGTATGATCCCGGCATCTGATCGAAAAATAAAGGGCACACTTATGATAGCTTATTGTCTCAGCTACAACATAATCAAAGCTCAGCATGAACAAAGATAAAACGACGGAGATATTGCTCGCGAAAGACGGGAATGTAGAATCCAGTTTTGAGAAAAAATCATGTCCCGTAGAGAATACACGCAAAATGTTAAAAATTGACATGCCCCCTTTAATCGCAAATTACGCCATGATCCATTTGTCAAAATGAAAAATCGTGGCAACTGCATTTGTAGAAAATTGTCTCAGCTAGAACATATCAAAATTTGGAAGAAAATCGGTCAACATTTACAGAGATACAATCAATTTTCCAAAATATGCTGACGTCAAAATATGAAAATTAAAATTTTGAGTTCGGAGGCCATTATGATGACGTCATGAGTTAATTGAGGGTCAAATGAGACATGAAATCATATCTCCAATTCATACTCTATCAAAATATGAAAACAAAATTGGGATCACCTTGCATCCTTAAGCGCTACAATGGATTTTGTATAGGCATGTTTTTGCCCATGTATGCTATGTATTACAAGAGCTCGCACGCACGGAAATTATCTTAAACGGACGCTCATTCCGTTATTAATGGGCAGAAAAAGGTGAAAAAGGTATCAAAATGCTTGGAAAAATGTGCCAAATACGATGACAGAGAAAATTTGGCGATTCTATGTTGAAAAATACCAGTACGCGCGAAAACGCGCGCGCATGTGCGTGCGCGCGTTTTTTTGAAAAATGCTTAGAATGGCCTGAAACGTATGCAAAATGAATTTGGGACGATTTTGAGCATTTTTATTTTTTGCGCGCGCGCTGACGCGCGGACGTACGCATGCGCGTGCGTTTTCTGACTTTAAATTGACCGGACGGATATTGACCTTAATCATGATAAATATGAATGAGAAATGCCTTTTCGTTATAAAGATATGATCATGAATAAAAAGTACCAAAAAAAACACAAAATGGCGCCTGGATGACGTCATGAAGACTTGATGACCTTGAAAATGTTACACTGATGTCTCATGACAATGACCTATGACTGTGCCAAAATTGAACGAAATTGATTAAACCGATCTTGAGTTATCCTGTTCACAAAAAAGTGGGAACAATAAATAAAAATAAAGAATAATAATAATAATAAAGAAAGAAAATTCTGACGAAAACAATAGGTGATCTGTTTTCAACAGACCACCTAAAAAGAAAAGAAAAAAATTGTTGGAGACTCCCGGACTCGAACCAGGGACCTCGAGGTCGGAAGTCAAGTGCGTTACCGATATGCCAAAACATTTCCCATAGAGATTACACGTAAACGGAAAATAGAATT